TTTTCTAAATTTTCTTACGAAAATTTAAAATACTCGTCATGCAACTAAAAATACTCTAAAAATCTTAAATCGGTGTCGAAAACTCTTTCCGACCAATATTAGGGTTCCGGCACGGTGCCGTCGCCGTGTTTCAACGCCGGCTCTACCGCCCATAGCAGTGATTCGCCTCGACCTGGTAGGTTTTGCCCAGTTTTATATGTACCTCAACAAAAAAACACGTTAGGGAGCCTTGGTTAGCTGGAAATCACAGAAAAACCAAACTTATCGATGGGGGGTCTCCGGGTGCAGCGGCTCTGTCATTTCTCCTTCACAACTAGAGTTTCTTCTTCAGTTAACTTGCACAGAAAAAGACGATGAACACAATGACCAAAAAATCACGTAAAACGGAAAACATAAAGGGGCTTATTAGAGGGAGTTTTGGGTTTTGGCCGCGGCAGCTCCAACGAGTTTTGTTTGCGATTTCTACCTCACCCGTCTTCTCTTTTACTCTGATATGGCTACAGGAAGGCTCGAAATCAAATTTCAAGCGGGTAGGGGCAAATTTTACCTTTTTTGGCAGTCGCCGGAGGCTCTGGTGCGGCGGCGATTGGCGGTCAGCCTTCTTCTTCAGCAGCTGGTCCTTCTTCTCCGACGAGGGCAGAACGACTATGGTTAGGGTTCCTCTATGATATGATTTTTTTATACTCATTTTGCGTCAATCTGGACTATTCTTTCTTGTCGACATGGAGCGAGGAGAGTCATCCGATCGTTACCTGTTTAGACTGATTGTGTGGGTGAATTTGTACCGTTCATTGCAATTAATCTCGATGTCCGATCGTGCATAAGGAGAGAGAACGAATCTGAGCAGTTCATGCACGCAGGATCAAACCTGGGCCAGCAGATCGCCCGCATGGCGCTGATGTCAGTGTGTTTTACCACGCGGCATGCTCCGGTTCATCAGGGTTGCTGATTGGGCTGTCCCACGTGACCGAATTTTTTTTTTATAATTTTGACACCCTATTTCTAATTTTTCTTTTAAAAATATCCCCTGAACTCAAATTTTCACATATTTTCTCCAAAATTGCTTTTAATTACACCCATAACCTATTTTTCTCAAATAATTTAATAAAACTAAATTAAAATAATTTAAAAATAATTTTATTATTTTTTTATAATTACCAAAATTGATCTTGGGCCAAATTCATGGTTCAGGTATTACAAAGGGTGCTTTTGAAAGAAAAATTCAAAAC